CCCTGTCTTTGTCAGTGATCACTATTTTATCATATTTCCTTCAGATTTTGTAATGTTTTCATTAAGCCTGGAAACAGTGGAAGCCTCCTAGGTACTATTACCTAGAACTGTTACTGTGAAATTAATACTGATTATTGACATGCATATCTTCATACTATTTTCTGTAAAATTCTTCCTCCTGGTCCCTTCAGATCAGTGGTTTTCAACTTTTGACTTCATACTCGAATTTCCTGGGAGATCTTTTCTTTTATAAATGCCTGTTATATTGGGCTTTGGCATTGGTATTTTACAAAAGCTCCTGTGTGATTCTAATAATGTACCCAACACTAGGAACCATTGCTTTAGAGGAATTTTGAAATTTTCTCCCATACCTCTCAAGGGTTTTTGGGGTAATTAAGCCTTTTTCTCTGCTTGGGAGTTCCTGAACCAGTTATTTTTGAGCCCCAAACCTATGTATCATCCTAGATCTTTGGTTATTATTCTGAGAAAGCCTCCACACAACCTGAGGTTGTGCTTTTCTAGTTTTCAGAGCATTCTTTTGCAATATTCAAGTTTTTTTTCTCCCCATTAAGTTGGGCTTAGAGTTATTGTTATAGATACTTATTTTGTGCTTTCTTCAAGGTGCTGAGTTACTTTTTAAACGATGTGTGATATTTTTGCTTTCTTAAACATTTCTAGTACTGGATATAGAGTTTTCTAACACGATTTTATCAGCAAGCAATGAAGTGTTAAGAGGTGTTTCTTTCCTCTAAGGTAGGCTAAGCCATCTCGGTTGAGATGGGGATGAAGAAGTCATTTTCATCTACTCCAAAGTGTGAGGGAGAGTAACGTTCTTTTTTTTCTCTGCATGGGAACCAGGGAGGTCGTCAGCCCCAACAGGCTAGTTGGGAGTCCATGAGCTTCTCCCAGTGCTACCATCTATCACCTGGCCAAGAAATCTAAGCTGCAACTCTAGTTACTTCAGGGAGAAGTTGAGGTAGAGAAGTTTATAAACATGTGTTTATGCTGCTTTGGCTACTTTGGAAGTAGCAAATTTGGCCTCTGAGAGGATATTTTTAGATTCAAAAGTTACTTTTCTAATTTGATAAAATGTTCTATGAAATAACCTACCTTTGGAGCTGAGCTAAGTGTTCAAAATTCCAAGGTATGTACTTTTAAAACACTACTTCATTACTGAAAGTTCTTTTGTAGTTTAGTATCAAATTTTCCGAAAGCTCGATGATCTTATCTTTGTATCTCAAAGCACAAACAGTACTAAAGGTACAGTGTGCTCGCTCCCGGAGTTGAACTTGCTAGAATAATTTGCACCATGTTTACTAAAAGTATATGTCATATCATTAGAAATTATAGGGATTGATAAAGTAATGGGATGGGGGGTTAAAAGCTTATAAAATTAGATGCCACTATTTAAATATCCTAATTTATTCATCAGATAAAAATTTCCAGTGGGCAAATACTGGAGCAGCTGTGTTCGGAACACAGTCAACCAGTAAAGTTGGTGAAGATGAAGATGGTAGTGATGAAGAAGTAGTTCACAATGAAGATATCCATTTTGAACCAATAGTGTCATTACCAGAGGTAAATATTAAAGAATGGAACTCTTACTAACAATGTCACATTTTAAGTTTAAATCTTGACATAGCCTAGCTTTGACTTACAGAACTAGCTTTGTTTACATTTCTTCAGAATATTTACAATTTCAAATGGAAGCTCTTTATTACGTATTTTATATATATATATATATATATATATGTAAATCCTACATGAAACTGTTGGAAAGAACTAAATTTTTTCATAGGTCTTTAGAATATCACATTTGTTTTCATAACAAAATTCAGGTGGTAAAAAAGTATCCAATCTCATACTTGGCAAAAATCCTTTCAATAAAAAGTAAACCACATTTTCTGGACAGGAATGTTGTTTTAGGCAAATTACTTGGTCAGTTTTCAACCACAATGGTTAATATTTCTTTTGAAGAATACTTTTTGAAACCTTTACTGTCCTATAAAAGAATGTATTACTTTCCAGAAGGAGGAAGAATACTACATAAGGGAAAAATGTTCAATGACAAATCAGGTCTTTACTGCTCCATCCAAATCAGATGTATTCGTAGCCCTTGGATATTACTATTTATCTTGATACTATAGTTCAAATTCTGTTAATGTCATTACAAAGACAATGTCATGAGGAATTTGGATGTTTGGAATTTGTCATGGAATATGTCAAAAGCAGGAGCTTATTTATCTACTGCCATAGGTAGAAGTAAAATCTGGAGAAGAAGATGAAGAAATTTTATTTAAAGAGAGAGCCAAACTTTATAGATGGGATCGAGATGTTAGTCAGTGGAAGGAGCGAGGTGTTGGAGATATAAAGATACTGTGGCATACAATGAAGAATTACTATCGGATCCTAATGAGAAGAGACCAGGTTTTTAAAGTGTGTGCAAACCATGTTATCACCAAAACAATGGAATTAAAACCCTTGAATGTTTCAAACAATGCTTTAGTTTGGACTGCCTCAGATTATGCTGGTGAGTACATTCAATGCTACTTCTCACTTTTTGAATTTTTTTTTTTTTTTAAGTTTATTTTGAGAGAGGGAAAGCACAAGCGGGTGGGGGGCAGAGAGAGAGGGAGAGAGAGAATCCCAAGCAGGTTCCCCACTGATAGTGTGGAGCCTGAAGTGCGGCTCGAACTCAACGAACCGTGAAATCATGACCTGAGCTGAAACCAGGAGTCGGAAGTTTAACCGACTGGTTCACCCAGGTGCCCCCACTTTTTGAACTTTTTAAAAATACATAAAAAATATATAAGACAATTGTAACAGTGATTTTAACATTAAGGTCACTGTTTTGTTTTGTTGTTGTTGAACAGATGGAGAAGCCAAAGTGGAGCAGCTTGCAGTGAGATTTAAAACTAAAGAAATGGCTGAGTCTTTTAAGAAAAAATTTGAAGAATGTCAACAGAATTTATTGAAACTCCAGAAAGGACAAGTATCACTGACAGCAGAGTTATCGAAGGAGACAAATCCTGTGGTGTTTTTTGATGTTTGTGCAGATGATGAACCCCTTGGACGTATAACCATGGAGTTATTTTCAAACATTGTTCCTCATACTGCCGAGAACTTCAGAGCACTCTGCACTGGAGAGAAAGGCTTTGGCTTCAAAAACTCCATTTTTCACAGAGTAATTCCAGATTTTGTTTGCCAAGTAAGTATTTAATTGTATGTCACAACTGAAGTCTAGAAAAGGGAACCACACTAACTTAGGAAATTTGAGTGTTTCTCTTAAGTTTTTTAAGATTTCTTTAGCTTTTCTGTACATTAGTTGTTGTCACCACCCAATTTCCTGTCCCCACAAAAACTTTCAACCTGAAGTAGTTCAAATTTCTAATATCTTGAAACCTGCTGGAAATTGAGGATGGAAAAAAGACATTTTCATTTTTGTCTTTCAAAATTTTCTTATTTTTAAGAACTATGTTTCTTAGTTTTCAAACCACATTCTCAAAGAAGTTGGGTGTTTAGAATTTATCCTGTAGTGGTAGTTCTGTGTGTATTTTAATATTTTATTCAGGATTCCTATTAACTGAGATGTTTTTTCAGGGGGGAGATATCACCAAACATGATGGTACAGGAGGACGGTCCATCTATGGAGATAAATTTGAAGATGAAAATTTTGATGTCAGACATACTGGGCCTGGCTTACTATCAATGGCCAATCGAGGCCAGAACACCAATAATTCTCAATTTTATATAACACTGAAAAAAGCAGAACATTTGGACTTCAAGCATGTAGTATTTGGGTTTGTTAAGGATGGCATGGATACTGTGAAAAAGATCGAATCATTTGGCTCTCCTAAAGGGTCTGTTAGTCGAAGAATTAGTATCACAGAATGTGGACAGATATAAAATCATTGTTTTTCATAGTAAGTTTTACCTGTATAAACAGTTGAATTGAAGCTTAGCTGTTATGACAATATGGTAATTATGTTCAGCTTTTGAAAATGGACGTTTCCAGTGTACAAATGTAAAATTGCAGCTTATAGCTGTTGTCACTTTTTAATGTGTTATAATTGACCTTGCATGGTGTGAAATAAAAGTTTAAACACTGGTGTAAATCAGGTGTACTTGTGTTTATGTACTCCTGACATATCTGTATTAAAATGGAATAATATTAATCTTGTTAAAAGCAATAGACCTTCTCAAACTATTGAAGGATTATGATATATGCAATTTAATTTTACCTTTTAAGATATTGGACTTCCTGCATGGATAAACTTACCATTCGAATAAGGGACCACAACTTGGATACTTTTTATTTTAGATTTGAAATATATTTGGTAATTTTAACTGTTGGTGTGCTCATTTATGCATTGAGGCTCACTTTTGAATGGGTAAAGCCACAGAGGGTAGAGACTTAACCAAAGTGCTCTTCTATAATCCTTGCACCTCCTGTATAGTTAAATTAACTTTTAAGTAGAGTACCTTCTTTTCTTAAAATGATATGTAGTTTCCTGTGCCCTTTCAAAGGTATTAAATTAATTTTTACATTTTAAACAAGTTAAGTATGTCCTTAGTTTTTATTTTATTTTATTTTTTTTTTTAACTTTCCTGTCATCTTTCTACTACCTCAAACTGCAGCTTGGTTCTGATAGAACTTGAATTTTTCCTTGCAGTTATTGTGATAAAGTATGACTATTTTAAAAAGGTCTATACCATGTTCTTTGGTTAAAGATTTGCTTTATACTAGATTGTTGCAGTACTTTTCTCTGGTGAATTTTGTAGCAAAAATAAAGTGACAATTGTTAACAGCCATGACATTTAAAAAATTTATTACTTGTGCATCTAGTTGTTTGTTCATTCTAGAGCCAAAGTGAGGAGGACAGTTAAAGTTCTGTAAACTCAGACTGCCATATAATCTCCAGAGCTCCCAAAGGAAGTGATTTCTGTTCAAGTTTGATACACACTGAACATTTATTTGGAATAAATGTTCCAAATTTATTCCATTGGAATAAATGTTATTTTGGCTAATGACAAAAGTTAGGCAAACTGCTTAAAAGGCGGTGGGGTGGGGGTTGGGGAAAGGTATTCTCATCAGCCTATTCAATATAGAACTACAAAGAATGTAGTTAGAGCACAAAATTTTATGTATTCCAGTTACCAACAGTGACCTTCCTATACCCTCCTGTGTTCTTCCCAGTGAAATAATTTCATTTTGTTTAGTGAAAGACAGTGGGAGTTTATTCCATTATTTGGGGATTTGGAAATAGGCTATCATAATACTTGTTCAACCACTAAAGGAGGAAGGGATGTCATGTGTGGTGTGTATGTGAGTAATGAGTGATGAAATACCATCACTAAATTCACTTGGCCACAAAGCCAGATAACGGAAATAAACCTACTCCAGTGTATCAGTTGAACTTAACCTGGACCTTAAAGACAACTATGGATGACATATATGCACATTTAATATTAAGAACTGGCTTCTTTGGAGACCTATGTAAGTAATATAAGTTGACATAAAGTGTGTTGTTTTTGAGCTGGAACCCTTTGACATTTTAGAATAAATTCCAAGTGAAGGCAAGTGTGCTTTAGAGATTATAGAAACCAGTTTTACACTATTTACTGTGCTATCATAAAGCATTAAAACAATGTATTAAGCTTTAAAAGCTAATAATACTTGGACCAAAAATTTGATTAAATGACATGTAAACTGACTTCCAGAATTAGTATTCCAAAAATGCTTACAAGTGGCTTGAGACATTAATGAGAAAGGACTGATTTCTCTTTATTTAATTGCTAATGCAGTATAAATCCACACTAAGATGTACTCCCCCCCCCCCAAACTGGTTCGATTTTATATTGTCCCATTAAAAATCTGCTTAAAATAGAATATAAAAATGTTCATTATTTGTACACTAATATTTGATGGCAGAGAGTATTGGTTTAAATAATTTTCAGATAATACTTTAGTAAGATGATCTTGTAAAACTTTGGCATTTAAAAAACTAAAGATAATCCAGAGAATCTAGGATTTGTTAGTCCAGACATGCTGTTGAACATCATCGAGAACCCAAGCAGGCTACGCAAAGCCTGATGAGAGACTCAAACCACCAGATCATAACCTGAGCCAAAATCCAGAGTTGGATGCTTAACTGACTGAGCCATCCTGGCACCCTGAAAGCTGTATCTCCTTACCTGACGCCATGGTGGGGGTGGTGCCTGAGGCCAAGCCTGAGTTCCCTCTCTTGAGGGGCCACATCAGCTAAGGTGTAACTGCTGTGAACAACCCTGCTTTTTTTGGTGCCTTGGATACGAGGGAGGAAAACTTAAGTTAACAAAATTGTAAGACAAGACAAAACACCATCAGTCAAAATAACAGTGGTGAAGGAATTAGTCATTAAAATATTCGGCAGGAAAAACATTTGTACCGCCAGGACGTTTTTAACATAGTACAGAGAGCCAGACCAAGGGGCCCTAACACGCGCGCCTCTGTCGCTGTCGCCTGCGGCGGAGCGTGGGTCCCACCATAGTGAAAGCGCCCCGGGACGGGTCGAACTACGAGCGCTTCGGCGTAGCTGTTGACCCCCGAGAGGCGGAGCGTGCCGAGCGTCGTGACGCAGTTCCGTTGCGCGAGATTCGACCCTGCGCGTCCGGCCGCGGTGGGTTTGAACGCTGTTCCCGGGGAAACAACGGCGGACTTGGTGCACCATGGAACCGAGGGTAGTGAAGCCGCCGGGGCAGGATTTGGTAGTAGAGCGTCTGAAAAGCCTCTACGGACTAGGGGCCAGGCACCTCGCCGAGGTGAGGCTTCGCCCTTTCCTCGGCCTTGTCCCTGGGCCCGCGGGCCGGTTTCTGCCGGTGTGAAGCGGCCTGCCGGGCAGCTAGCTGCGCCAGAGGCCTCGGGGCCGCTGTTCAGAAGGACCCTGGGGGAGGGAGCCACTCTCCGGGGCTCGAGCAGCTCCGCCAGAACCAGGGTTAGCGAAACGTAGCTGCGGGGGCAGAAGTCATTTGTGGCCACAGATGCACCATATGTGGGAAAAACACATTTTATATAAAAAAGTTCTTCACTGTAAATTCTTGAAGGTTTATGTTACTACAGGCATAGCATGACACTGTTGAAAGTGTATCTGAACTTTTATTTACAGTGACTTGAGCGGAGTTCGAAAAGCGATTTTAATTTATTTAAAAACTTTCCTATTTTGAAAAAAAAAATCCAAATTTAAAGTTGCAGGAATATACAAGGAACTCTTGAGCATTTCGCATGGATTTGCCATTGGTTAACATTTCGCCACATTTGCGTTACTATTAATCTTCGTATTTTTGACTCCCTACACACATTTTTTTCCTTTTAACTAAGGATAATTTGCCGGTGCTGTGACACTTTTACCCCCAAATATAAATACTTAAATGTATTTTCTAGGAATAAGAATATTCTCTTATATTTGCAGTAACAAATTGAGGAAGCTGACCATTTATACAATAATATGTAACATATAGTTCGTATTCAGATTTCACCAATTATCTCAATAATGTCCTTTATACATTTTTTTCGCTCTGGTGCAGATACAGTCTAAAGATGAGCATTGCATTTGGTCTGTTTTTTGTTTTTGTTTTGTTTTGTTTTAATCTGGAACAGGTTCTTAAGCCCATGTCTTTTATAATGTTGATATTTTATTTTATTTTTTTAGTGAGAGAGACCGGGAGCTAGAGAGTGGGCAGAGGGAGAGTCTTAAGCAGGCTCCAAGCTCAGTGTGGAGCCCAACACCAGGCTTGATCCCTGGGATCATGACTTGAGTGGAAATCAAGAGTAGGTTGCTCAACCAACTGAGCCACCCAGGCATCCCTAATGTTGCTATTTTTGAAGAGTACAGGATAACTGTGTATTGGACTGTCCCTTAACTGGAGTTTCTCTGATGGCTGTTCCTCGTGACTATCTGGTTATGCATTTTTGGCAGGAATACTACAGGGAGTGATGTGTGGGTTGCACTTGTTCATTAGGAGACTTGCAATGTTGCTTTGTCCTGTTATTCCGGATATTAATTTTAACCAGTTGGTTAAGGTAGTGTCTACAAGATTTGTCCACTGTAACCTTTGTAATTAACCCTTGTACTTAGTACATAATTGGTGGGGAACTCTTTTTTGAGACTGTAGATTGATTCTTAATATACAAATTAAATATATCTTTTTTTTTTAAGTATGATTTTTCAAATTTTGATCAGGCTAAGTGGAAGAGAAGATCTCTAACCTCCCCAGGTAAGCTGATAGAGTATTTTGTATACTTGGGGGTTTTAACAAATTTAATTTAAGAGAAAACATTAAAAAAAAAATGTTTAGATTTAAGACTAAGTGCCAGATATCTTGTGATATTAAGCTTTCTTCAATCGGGTAACAAACTAATAGTAACCAAGATTTTGTGGGTAAATGTAAGATGTCTTTAAATCTAATTGAATTAATTTTTTTGGTGTTTCAATTACAATTTTTTTTTTTTTTTTTTTTTTTTTTTTTTTTTTTTTTTTTTTTGCCTTTAGAAATTGGGTAAAGTATGTGGGGTAAAGAAAACTGCTTTCTTTTTAAGGCATAGACTTTCCAAGTTACTGAGATAATAATTGTTGCACTGGAAGAATTTATCAAATGTACTTGATAAAGATAATTATATTGTGGGATTGGGTGCATTGGAACATTATGTGGCAATCTGGAAGTAATGTATAACTAACCATTAGTCTTTTGATTTGTTGATACTTCTTTGGTGATGTTTTTACAAGTAAGTACAATCGTTGAATTTTGAGGTGATTGCAACAAAAACAGTATCTTTAAAAGTTTTGTCAGAGTAGATTAGAGAATTTCATTTTTTTCCAAGTTTATTTCATTTTGAAATTTTGTAAACACTCTTGAAACATTTCTTCAGTGTGAAAAAAAAGACCCAGTTATTACTGAGTCTAGTATCTAAAAAATATCTTAAAATTGTATTTTAGTTTGAAATTTAGCCTAAAATTTCCAGCTTTCTAAAATGTAACAAAAAGTATAGCTCATTTAATTTCTGATGGGGTAAAAATGCATATTAGACAAAGGTGCATACATTTAAAAATATTTATAGGGATTCCTGGTTGGCTCAGTCAGTAGGGCATGTGACTCCCGATCTTGGGGTTGTAAGTCTGAGCCTCACATTGGCTGTGGAGATTACTTAAAAATAAAACCTTAAGGAAAAAAAAATTCTAAATTTCTTATCAGAGAAGCTCTCTTTGCCTTTTAGTCTCTGAATTTGGATACAGGCTAACAATCTGTTAAATGTTGAATGTTTAAAATATATAAAATTAAAAAATAAAATGTTTAATGTTTGAGACTGATGAAATATCATGATTAGGTAGGAAGAAGGCTGAATTCTGAATTTTAATCTTTCCACTTGCTGGTTCTGTTACTTAGATAACTTCACTAACTTCTCTGGTCCTTAGACTTACCACCATTAGAATAGGGTTAAAGGCACCAATTCTGCTTACTTCAGAGTAAGCTAGCTGTTGCTAGGATCAAATAAGGTAATAAACGAAAGAGCATTTTGTAATCAGTAAAGTGCCATATTAATACAAGGCTTGATGCCTGTTTTCTGAAGTTTGCGTTACAGAGATATACACATAAGAAATCATTAGATAATTTTGCCATCTTACCTTAGAAGCCTAGAATGAGATTAGTATCTGATTTTAGTAATCTCTGCTTTTTTCTCTTTTGTTAACAGATGATTTGGATATCTTCTCATCTGGTGATAAAGTTGGTTCATCATTAAGATGTTATTCCGATGAAAGAAAGCATTGCACAATGCCACTTTGTAGTTCATTCAAACACTTAAATGTGAATTGGTAAAGTACCCTGAATCCTTACTGTTGCTATCCCCTCAGTGTCTAAAAAACTGGGAGATTAAAGAGTGGTTTGTTTATGTCTTTGCCTTTTTTTTTTTTTTTTTGAGGAAGTAACAAGCAGTCTGGAGCTTGCTGACTGGTTATAGAGACTGATTTATTTTTACTGAGATCTTTGTTATAAAAGCATGAACCTAGCGTTCATTACATTTGGTAGTATAATGGAAAGTTATTTACACAGTACAAAACGTGAAGTTATTTTTATGGTTATTCATCCAGGACCCAAATGAACACCATATTCCCTTTCTTTCTTTCTTTCCTTTTTTTTTTTAAAGGATGTAGGATAAAAATGAATGCAGGTTTGTTGGGCAGTGATGTTTAACACCACATTCATTGTCTACTAGGGTGGTAAGCTATATTTTAGGTAGTTGAGAGAAAGAGATGGAAGAAACCGGTCTGGTGAGTTGGTAACTACAAAATATGCATGATAGATTGTTGGTCTGTGAGGGGTAAATAGTTTTGTAGAGGAGATTGTACTGTGTGAGTGAAATCAGTATAAAAACAGTGGAAGCTAAGATGAAATAAAGTTCTAAGTTAGGTGTTATTAAAAGCCAGAAATACATGGCAGAAGAAAGTGCTGTGGGTATCAACATTTTGAAATAATGTTAAACCATAAAGATGTATACATACACAAAATGAAATGTTGAGATAATTGTGGGGAGAGGAAGAGTTAACTATGCCTAAAATATACATATAATATTAATGTAATTGATATTTGAGAGCTTGAATATTTTATATAATTGCTTCTTTCTCTGCTTAAATGATTTAATCCATATAAAGCACTTAGAACGGTGTTTAGTACATAGAAAAGCACTCAAAGTGCTATTACTGTTGTTATTACTGTTTAATTTGGCATTCACAAAGTAGCATCGTTAATCTAGATTTAAGATTTGGACATGAGGTAGATTGAATATAGAGTAAGGAAAGTAAAAAATTGTTTTCAGATTATGAATTTCTGGAAATTATTTTCTTATATTTAACTGATAGTTTTGTCATTTTTTGTTTTTATAAATAATCTGGGTATAATTTCCAGTTATAATTTGAAGCCTTTGAACTATGAAAGTTTTTATAACATTAGATAGTTTTTTCACAATCCCTAGTTATTATCTAATCTGGAATTATAGTACTGTCCAGCACAAGTAGCCACAAGCCACATGAGGCTATTGAGTACTTGAAATGCTGTAAGTACAAAATACACACCGGATTTCAAAGATGGATAAAGAATGCAAAATATCTTAATAATTTTTATATTGATTATATGTTAAAATAATCTTTTAGATATACTGGGTTAAATATAATACATAGTTAAAATGTTATGTCTTTTTATGTTTTTAGTATGACTACTAGGGAATTTTAAATTATCTTATGTGATTGACTTATATTCCTTTGAACAGCACTGCTCTAGAAATTTCAACTTTGAGATCATGTTTTTGGAGAAAACACCTGAGATTCTAGTTCTGCTTTACCTTACTAGTTATGTCACCTGTCCATTATTTAAATTCTTTAGGGTTTGGTTTCTTCCTGTTAGACATTACATTTTTTTTAGCTAAAATTATAGCTGACATTACCTGTTATAGTGACCTCACAGAAATATTAGGAATCAAAGGAAAGAGATTGGCAGTTGTAGAACATTCTATAGGTATATGTTATTTTAAATTGTGCCCATTTGAATATGTAGAAAGATGTTTGTAGTGAGTTTTTAGACCATTGGCTGTTATTTTTCATATTTTTATGTTTTCCACTTTAAAATGTTTACTTGTTACTTTTTTTCAATTTTTGTGCTGTTAATATTTGGAAAGCACTTTTATCTTTTTTAAATACTGTAGAAAACTTCCAGAATGCTGTGATAGAATTTTTTATTTTTAAAGCCTAGATGATGAACTGGATTCTTTTCAAGATTTGAAGCAAAAAGAAGCAAAAGAAGACTTAATTGAAAATGATTATGGAGTTAGTACCTCCAAGATAACCAAGCAGTCTTTTAAAGACATAGAAAAAGGTAAAAGATATACTCATTTTAGAACAGTCATTTCTTTCATTCTTTTTTTTTTTTTAATGTTTTATTTATTTTTGAGAGAGAGACAGACAGAGAGGGAGAGAGCACGAGCCAGAGAGGGATACAGAGAGAGGGAAACACAGAATTCGAAGCAGATTCCAGGCTCTGATCTGTCAGCTATCCACCTGTGAGATCATGCTCTGAGCCAAAGTTGGACACTCAACCAACTGAGCCATCCAGGTGCCCCTACAACAGTCATTTAAAAAGTAGCTTTGTTAAGTAGAGCACATAAAGCTTATCCTGTAGTAATAACACTGGTTCTCTGTATATTTCTGTGATCTTGCATTTGTGTAAGCCATGAGGCAGTAATTGTGCTTATTGTTAAACTAAAGATGAGAAAGATAAACTTCATTATTTTCCAGTAGTATTCCCATACTCTCAAAACTTACCAAAATAATTAACATACTGTGTAGTATTGATTTTAGGAGTAGAATTTAGTGATTCATCACTTATACACAACGCCCAGTGCCCATCTCAACAAGTGCCCTCCTTAGTACACATTATTTAGCACAACCCCTTGCCCCACCTCCCCTCCAGCAACTCTTAGTTTCATCTGTGTATTTAAGAGTCTCTTATGGTTTGCCGCCTTTTCGTTTTTATCTTATTTTTCCTTTCCTTCCCCTATGCGCATCTGTTTTGTTTCTTAAATTCCACACATGAGTGAAATCATAACGATATTTATCTTTCTCTGACTGGTAATTCTCTTAGCATAATATACTCTAGTTTCATCCATATCGTTGCAAATGGCAAGGTTTCATTCTTTTAGATCACTGAGTAGTATTCCATTAGATAGATAGATAGTTATAATCTGTATATATAGATATAATCTTTATCCATTCATCAGTCGATGGACATTTGGGCTATTTCCATATTTTGACTCTTGTTGATAGTGCTGTTATAAACATTGAGATTCATGTGCTTTGAATCAGCATTCCTGTATCCTTTGAATAAATACCTAGTAGTGCAATCGCTTGGTCATAGGGTAGTTCTGTTTTAATTTTTTTTTTTTCAGTATATGAAGTTTATTGTCAAATTGGTTT